AAGCTTTAGAAATCAAAATGATGGCAATCATTAAACTAAGAATAGCAAATCATGATCAAATTCAAGAGCTAATAGATTCAATGATGAGAGGCCTTGCTTGAACACTTTACATTGTCCTTAGTCACCCCTTTGAGTCTAAAGAAAAGGTAATCATCCAAATTATGAGAGCCAAGATGATTTTTTTTGTGAATTTACCCACATCATGAACCGGGGGAGTGAAGAGTGATTGTGAAAGGGAAATACTAATAGAAAGGGATTTTTGAGCCTTCATATCCTTCTTTTTGATAACTTAACCCAAAGCCACATAACAGCTTTTAGTTTGATCATGAATTTCCATTAAAAAAAAAAAACAACAAAAAAGGGATGAAAAAAGGGAAGAAAAGAGTGACCTAGTAAGCTAAATGTTTCCTTGACTTGGAAAGTTGAAGATCCAATGATGAAAGGCATTGTTTTTCTATCCCAAACAGTTAACATTGTCCTTTGCTTACCCTTTTTGCGCTAGAAAAAGGCAATCATCCAAATTCAGAAAAGCCAAGATGATTTTCTTCTTGTTAACCCACATCAATGACCGGGGTCATGAAGAGAGAAATGTGAGGGGAATATATGGAAAAATTAATTTTGAGCCTTTACCCTTTCTTTCATAATAGCCTGACCCCAAGCCACATTACAAGCCTATAAAGTCCTTATTTGAGGGTTTGAAACTTTCTTTGTCAAGGAACATTAAAAGAAAAAAAAAATCCTTTCTCTAGTGAGTCCAAGTCAGTTAGCTTGATGGTTTATGATCGGTCTTCTAAACATTGAAGGTTAGTTCATGGGAAGGAGATAGATTCGATTTGTCCACCTTGGCATGGAAGTAGACATTGTCTCATATGCTAAAGACTGGATTGGTGGAGTTGCAAAGAAATAAATTCTTGAAGCAAATACTTTATAGCCTGAATGTCTTCTAACTTTGTTAAAATTGTTGCATCAAAAGTTGTGCCCTTCAAAAAAAAAGAAAAAAATGCTTATCTCAAAATTTCATCATCCTTGAAATTTTAGTACATTCTCTCTCCATATTACCCACATCTTAGTCTTTTCTTTTTATCCATGCCTTGGCCTTCTTTTCCTTGTTTAGATTGGGATGCTAATTGGTTATGATGCTTTATTGCAATTAATATAATTGCTTTATTTAACTGAAATCTCTTGACAAATCTGAAAATGAGATGAGGGTTGCAGAGAAAAGCAAATGCTTGATTCAATGGTTATGGTGCTTATCCTACCTCGCAATGATTTGAGAATTTTCCCCAGTGAACTAGAGATTTTCTCAAGTCACTAAACTTTATGCAAAACATGTCATCAAGCCCATTAATGGATGCACAACACAGAGGACACTTGACTCTTGCAAAGTAAAGACATCCACCACATGTTTAGGGAAGTTTCTTAACCTCTCTTCATTTTCCATCATCTTTTATGTGAAAGTTGTCTCACTTGCATATGTTTCATGGCTGCAGATATTTCAATCTTTACTTTCATCCAACCTTTTGGTGGCATTTACACTCATTAGGCCTTGATACTCCACTTTTTCGGTCATTCGACCATACTCATACTCTACTGTTTTGGTCATTCGACCATACTGATACTCTACTCCTTTCGGTCGTTCGACCATACTCATGCTATACTGTTCCGGTCATTCGACCATACTCATGCTTACTGTTCCGGTCATTCGACCATACTGATACTCTACTGTTCTGGTCATTCGACCATACTCATGCTCTATTGTTCCGGTCATTCGACCATACTGATACTCTACTCCTTTCGGTCATTCGACTATACTCATGCTCTACTGTTCCGGTCATTCGACCATACTCATGCTCTACTGTTCTGGTCATTCGACCATACTCATGCTCTACTGTTCTGGTCATTCGACCATACTGATACTCTACTGTTCTGGTCATTCGACCATACTCATGCTCTATTGTTTCGGTCATTCGACCATACTGATACTCTACTCCTTTCGGTCATTCGACCATACTCATACTTTACTGTTCTGGTCATTCGACCATACTCATACTCTACTCCTTTCGGTCATTTGACCATACTCATACTCTACTGTTCTGGTCGTTTGACCATACTGATACTTTACTTTTTCGGTCATTCGACCGTTGTGGTTATATAACCACCTCAATTCAACTTGCTCGGTCGTTTGACCATTGCAACCCAACTTGCTCGGTCGTTTGACCGTTGCTATCCCATTCGTTCGGTTTATCCGATCGTTGCGATTTCTTAACCGTTTTATCTCATTCGTTCGGTCAATCCGATCGTTGCGGTTTCTTAACCGTTTTATCTCATTCGTTCGGTCAATCCGATCGTTGCG